CTTGTTCCAGTGTACTTTGCTTTCAGAACATAAACTTCTGCAAAGTGATTTCAATGAAATTGTTATTGAAACCCAAGTTCTGCTGCTTGCTACTCAAAAGGAAATACTCAAGAGATGTGTTGGTTGGAAAAGAAAGATTGCTTTATTTAGGAGGCCGGCAACCTGGGGAGATGGCGGATTGGTGTCCAAGGACCATCTCTGAGGTTCCAGGCGAAGAAATGGGTTTTTAAAGGGGAAATTTAGGGTAGGAGATTACATACATATTGATGAAAAGGGCAGGGAAACTTATGACTATTCATGAGGAAAAATGAACCATACATATGAGCAAACATATATGTAACATAAATCCCATGTTCACTTTGGGGTGGGGACTTAACACCAGAAGGAGGCAAAATTCAGCCCCAGACATCAGGAGGTTATCTTAGGACAAGGAGAAGGGGCTATGGGCATGCTCTGAGAGCTGGTATAAACTGGAAGGGGTCTTAGTCTTGTTATCTCTGTTAAGGAATGCGGGGCCTTGCTTGTTCATAGGCTGGCACCATATCAGTTGACCTTGGGTTCAGGCTTCTGCAGAAACAGCTAGTGGATCTGTTAGTAGGGTCTGAAAAGACATAATAGCTGATTAGGGAGAAACAATTCTCTGAAAAACAAGCTTTAAACTTTCTGCTAGTTTCAACCTCATGAACCCTGTGGGGTATGGTTCCAAAATGATATGTCATTTGTTTTTAAACAGAATAACAATAGTTATTAATTAAAGCACAATGAAATTTAGATTAAAGGTAATTTTTGATCATGCTGATCTTTAAAATAATACTGTGTTTGTGAAGGAAAGGAATGATTTTAAAAAGTGTAAGAAATAAGAAACATCAATCATAATGTGATATAGCTTTTAGCATGTTTTTATAATTTTGCCTGCATATATAAATTTGTCATCATACATACATAATTATCCAGGTTATCCCCCCCAAATTAGTCCTTCCTCAACCATTACAGTATTTTACCTACTAATTTGTTTGTTTACTTGTATAACCCTTTTTTAAATTCAACAAAAATGTTGAGGACCTACTGTTGTTAATATCATCCTGTTCCCAATGCCCAGTATGTGCCATGTGCTATTCATAAGAAAGATGTGAATAAAAGACAAAAAAGTATCTTTGCCTTAGGATTTGAACAATTAAAAACATAAAACCTGCTGTTCATGCATGAATGAGATATTGTTTACTATGGTAATGTTAGGTTTTTAAAAAATAAGGAATGACTTAAATTTGGTAAAATATATAGAGATTATTTCCTTCTGAACCTATTTTTATTAACTGCAGAAGATACCGTTATCCCCATGAAATCATCTGTAAGTCTTCTGGTCAAGAGATATTACATAAGGAGATTTGCTTTTAAATGTGTGACTCAAACTGAAAAAGACCACACACAAAAAAAAATCTTAAAGGTTATAATTTGAAGCATTAGGAAGTTCTTATCTGCATCATTTTTTATTCTTGACAGTTTCATTATCATACTACCTCATTTTTGCTACCAGTAATTTTCAGGAGTGACAAGTTTATATGATGAAAGTAAATGAGACACATATTTATATGAGGAAAAATTGAGAAATTATAAATTGGAGATTAATATAACCAAGATCACTTTTAAGAGTGTGTTATGTAGGGTTACTTTCTTATTAATAAGGAGTTTATTGAATCCCTCTTGATGTGATATTATAATTGCTTAAAATAGTATTACATTGTAAATATTTTTGTACTTTTATATACATATTTGATATGATAATTACTTGTAGAGTATTAACTAAAAAAAGTTATGTTTGTGTAAAATCTCCAATGAATGGAAAAAGGTGAGACCAGCCAACCAGTTAATGAATCATGACCTATTTAAGGAACCTGAGGACTTCTTATTTCTTATTTAGTTGTGTCACATAATGAAAAGATATTTCTATAGTAGAGGTTCTCTCCTTCTGTACACACACACAACTCTACTCTTTTCAAATAAAAGAATCTTCAAATACATTTCTAGAAGAGATTTTAATACATTAAATGATTGAAGGTTTAGTATAACTAAATTGAAGCTCTTTGGAGTGCTTTTCTGTTATTATTTTAACATGGAAGAAATTCTTCTTCTTTTACTGACATGTGTACTATATTTAAATAATCTCTCTGAATAAATATAACATCCTGTGTCTACATTTTGAATAAACTGTGTAGATGAAATTCTAAAATTGTTAAAATGGCTAGCAGAATCTAAGAATATGTTTTTGTAAATAAAACATTAGGAAATTTGAAGTATTTATGTGTGACTTAGGTTATAGTATCAAATAAATTTGATTATTTGTTTAGTTATTTATAGATACTAAAACTATACCTAGAGCTGTGTATAAGATTTAAAGTAAATGCATTTCTACAGTAAATATGTATGGCTTTCTTTGTGAAAAAGTAAAAAAATGATAAGAAACATGCTTCTTAAGTCTATTGGCAGAAGCTAGAATACCCCTTTGTTTGATAAGTGGATTCTAAAGCACAGTTAGTAAATAAAACTTTTGGAGTAGAGAATTCTAAAGGGATAAAGCAAGATGGGATATCCATAGAGCCCTAGATTTTGAAGATTGTTCTGAGAGTCTGAGGATAAGGCAAAAATTTGATATGTAGAGTCTGTTCTCAACCTCTGTTCCAATCAAGGTAGCAATTTTACTCTTCACAAAAGTTCACTGATATATCCTGAGACTTACTCCTCAAATACCACTGGAAAATTGGAGCTTAAATGTGGTCTTCTTTCTGGTACACTTATAAGGAAGGTGTGTGAGAGTGAATGTGAGTCTGTGTGTGCGTGTGCATGGTGGTGGGGTTTAAATGACAGACTGCTTGCTGAAAATGGCCTTTTAAAATTTCAAATTGGGGAATTTGAATGGAAGGTGTAAAAGTAAATTTTATATATATATAAAATATATTTTCTATTGTATATAATCATAATTCACATTTACATAATATTTATGTATATATTCATATATTTCTAACATTCATATATAGATATTCATAATTTTATATATATATATATGATTTCCCAAAGTCATATTTAAGTAATTTAGATTTTAGTTGCTACCTTTGTTCTCATGCCACTGACCAGTCCCTATTTTTTGCCAGATATTTTCTTAGACACAGTGCACAAGTTGATATGGACTAGACCCTGGACCTGTGGTCGCTCAATCAGAAATAGCTACCTCATTAAGACATAGTCTTTTAAAGTCAGTTGACTCCTCACAACTGGTAAATTGTAACTGCACATTAGGAAAGGGGAGGGGGAATCCTCTTTCTTAAGGTTGGCCTCTGTTAGCTAAACAAAGTTCCATCAAAGCATCTAAATATGTTAAAATATTGGTGTTTCACATCTTTTTTTTCCTTAGTATGAAACACTAAGAAAGGTAAAATTCCCCCCCAAAAACATATAATAAATAAATAAATAGGTAAAATTCCAGCTCCACAATTCCCATTCCTACTTATCAATAGTTTGTGTATTTTTGTTTAGTTATATTTATATATAATATGTATATATATTTATATAAATATATTTTTAATAATTCTTACTCAGTAGGATTGTACAATATCTATGTGGTATAAAGTATATCTGAATAAAGCCAACACTTATATACCAGCTTAAAAAATAACATTACCAGTACATGTTCATAATTGAAAAAAAATGGAAATAATCTACATGTATAATGATGGGATATACACAAACACATTTTAGCTTGTTTTTTTTTTTTTTCACTCAGTGTATCTTAATTTTATGTGCTGTCCACCTCTAAACACTGCCATCTGGCTCTTGCCCAGAAGATATGACTCAGTGTTTGTCCAGATAAAGGATAGGGTCCCGCTACCTGAAATACTGCTGGGAAATAATTTGTGTTACTTCTTAACACTAAGCATGAGTTTTACCCAGCCATAATCTGGTAAAAGGTAAATAGAATCTATATAACTGGTCATTGTATTATACTAATAAGGCAAAACCTAGAGTAGCTATAGTATACTGACAGTATATAATGACAGGTTTCCTTTTTCAGTAAAAGCAATAAATATCAATAATGGAGATTCCAAAAGCAGATCACAGAACTCAGGATTAGGAACAGTAGGAAATTAAGCAGTAGAGTCAAGAGCTTACCCTTTTGTGGCCTTTTGTAATATCAGCACTATCTTAAGACATTGGGGTTGGCATCTATTTTTTTTTTCTTCTGAGAGCATTTCTGATTACTGGAGAGAGTTCAATGTGAAATAATTATTTTGTATATTATACAAAATTTGTATATTATAATTTAATAGTTCAGAGATTGTCAACTGAATAATCTCTGTGACATATGATCTGGATGAAATATACACAATTTCTTTGGATTCTCTGAGTGTGGTTGGCTAATCCACTTTAGTCAACAAATTAGGAATGAATGCCTTTCATCAGTAGATCTTTGATTCATAATCACTGTGACCATCTTTTAGTTCCTATTTGTGAATGCAGTTTAGAGACAGAGTCTGTATCGTTGAACAGATAAATGCCTCAGTCATTTATAAACTGCCATCTTTGGCAATAGAATCCATGGGGAAGTCAAAGGTTAGAAGTACCAGAAGATTTCTGTAATCTATGTATTGTGGAACTATGGCCTGTGTCAGTGTTAAATATTAGATTGTAATTTATTGGTATTTCAACTGAGAACTCTCACAGGCCTGGGAGCACCTAAGATAACTGTTGATTTGCACTTTGAGTCTCTTGACATAAAGTAACCTATCAAAAGTTTATTCCATGATATAAGCCTTGTTATATGGGCAACATTTTAGAGCCCTAAATGTTCAGGTAATCTGATGGCCTAATCAGTTACTGTTGATTCTTTTTGTCAAACAGAGATAATAGTCAACTGATTAAACCATCAGATTTTTAACACATCCTTTTAAAGAGATGTTTTATGAATAGAAAATTGCTAAATGTACTCTGTCCTTAACTTTTATTCTCAGGTTGGAGAGACGAGATGCAAAAAGGTTTGCACTTCCAAGTCTGACCTGAGGTCTAATGACTTCAGCATTGTTGGAAGCTTACCAAGAGATTTTGAATTATCCAATTATGACTGCTATGGAAAACCTATTGAAGTCAACAATGGGCTTGGGAAATCTCAGGCAAAGAACAACAAGAAGCCGCCCCCTGCCAAACCTGTTATTCCAACAGCAGCAAAGCGAATTGATCTTTATGCAAGAGCATTGTTTCCTTTCTGCTTCTTGTTCTTCAATGTTATATATTGGTCTATATATTTATGATAGATCTTTTTCATTTGTGTAAAATAAAATGCCATTTCATTGTGACCGGCCTCATTCATAAATGCCAATCTGAAAATTTTTGCATTTTCATAGCAATATATTGCATTTTGGATGCCATTTGATTGTAATAAAAATGTGGCACCTTACTTTTGAATGGCGGCATGATCTTGTTACTTCTGTGCTCTAATGATGTATATATGTATAGCAAACACATTGCTTTGATAAGCATACCACATAAAATAAAATCCAAACAATTCTCTTCAGTTAGTGTAAATTACAGATACTTCAGATGATTCTGATAATAAAATGATGTGCACGCTGGATCCTGTTATGATCACCATTCTAATGTATGTTGTATTTCAGATTTCCTTCCTTGTAACTTTCAGAGAAACCCATCTTATTCTTGTACAATTTTAGATGGTATTATCACAGATTAAGCAAAATTATATTACATATTGTTTAAACTTTGTAAGTAGAAAGATATCAACTATAATTATGTGGGCTCTATGCAGAAATAAAGTTCAAAAAATTACTAATTTGTAAAATCAGCTCATTTTAAAGTGTGCCTGTTTTGTCAAAATGCCAACTTATGAAACACAGTAAGCATTTTTGAAACAAAGGGAAATCTAGATTTACATAAATTCATACTGAATTCTGACTGCTGATAAAAATAAAAATAAAGGATAGATACATTGATTAAATATTTCTGACAAAAGAAATTCTATTTAATCCACCTTAAGCCTAAATATATTTTCATGGATTTCATTTTGTTGATACAGAATATATAAAATCATTGTGCCTTAAAGAGTCATAAATACTTTAAATTGGACTATAATAATGGATATGTGATTTCACATAATTTTTAGGTAACAAAGAGGAAAATACCCTATTCCTGGAAGTAACTTGAGTTTGGGGGAAAAAAAATCATTGGAAAATTTTAACTTCTTTATTAAAATGCTTACATATTTTTAAGTAAAATTAAATTTTTTTCTGAATTCATTTCTTTTTTTATTGGAATACTTTTTGGATTTGCTATAAAACATTTAAAGATTAAGTATGTAATATCTTTGTTTAAGTTAGGTCTCATTGCTAGTTGTATTTTCTTTCTTGCTAAAAGTCTAGACTCCTTAGATTTATTTACTTTGATCTTGTTTGAACCTGAAATAAGCACTTTCTGGTCTATAAGTCTCCCATTTCCTAGTGATATCAATCCAGTGTACCTTTTTATTTCTCCATAGCTGAAATTGGAATTATCCATAATTCATATAACAACAAACATAAGACCAAGTAAGTATATTTACATTATTTGGAGAGTTTTGTTGCAGCTGAGAGTTTATATGGTCAATTCAATGATAAAATGTGTTTAAATATTGTTTATGCAAATTGCTATATGTAATTCAATGCTATTTTATTAAAGACTTTAACTTTTTTAAAGATTTTCACTGATTACCAAATTTTTAAAAAATAAAATGTAATCTAATCCTCTGTAGTCCTTCAGCACCCCCTAGTTGCAAAAACTTAGCCATCTGAATAGTTTTAAAATGCCACAAGTAACCCCACCAATGGACTTGAATATCCTGTGAGGACCCAGGGCAGTAACATTTTAATGGAACTGTGATAGGAAAAAATGCCTTGAGTAGGACTTAAACCATTTACAATTTTTACTTATAAAAATTATATTTGCTTATAATACGTTTTCTATGTTCTTGCAAATTTCATTCATATTCAGGAGTTTGATTTAGATACAGAGTTTTAAGTGGGAAATGTACCAAATGGAAGACAGGTTTCATTATGCAAGAATTTATTGAAAAAAATGTGAATGAATTCCTGTGATATAAATTTGTCACCTCTTAAGATCAATTTTAATACACAACTATAAATATGTAGCTGTTTCAGGACTAAATGTGTTATAGAACTTCAAATGGAACATTAGACCGTGCTCATAACAAAGAAGTACAACCCGTGTCCACTTACAGTTGTTTTATAATTGTTACCTCAAGGATTTAGTCGTGTCACCCCAGGGTAGTTCTGGTCTGTGTCTCTAAATATTATATCTTTCTGGGAGACTTGCAGTATATCTACCTGGATATCAGTATCTCAGTTTCAGTGTCTCCAAAATAAAAATTATCTTCTCCTCACAAATCAGTAGGTTTTCTTATTCTCTGTTCTTGTTAAAGACGTCACTATTGTAGTCAGCCATATTAAATCTTCCTTCCTTCTCTCACTTTACACTCTTTCAAAAGGCGTAGAGATTTTCCCTCTCACCCCTACCACCCCCTCCTCTCCATTTCTGCTGACACAACTCTAATTCAGTTGCTCTTTCCCATTCTTTTTCAGACTGCTACGGCAGTTTTTAATCTCGCTCCACTCTACCTCAGCTGATTATTATTATTATTATTACTATTTTGATTAAGTTCCATACCCAATGTGGGGCTTTAACTCACAACCTTGAAATCAAGCATTGCATGCTGCACAGACTGAGGCAAGCAGGTGCCCCAACTTAGCTTATTTTTGAACTAACTGTGGGATATTAATTTTTTTAATTATCCAAGTAAGATATGAATACCTTGATATATTAGAAAGCAAGATGTATTTAGAGTGAGCACTAAAAGTTGCTGTCAGGTCCTTCTTTCTTCAAGCTCTTCTCTCTTTTCCCCAGAGGTCATCACCTTACTCTAGGCATTTACAACTCTGTCCAGGTTTAAATATAAAAGATAATTTAGTTCAATGGGATTTAATATAAAGGGGATTTTACCATATGTATAGTTTTGCAATTTCTTTATTTTTCATTTCTGTGTCTTGGAGATCTTTCTGTGTGAGGACATATTGGACATTCATAAATTTATCCTCTGTCTCCTAATTATTCTATAGCATGAATGTGCTTGAATGTAGCAGAAATTTTGATTGGTTTACTTTTCCAATACAAAATGGTTATTGCAATAAGTATCTTTGTGCACATATGAGTATACTTCCATGAGACAGATGCCAGAAGTGGAATTGCTGAGTTTAAAGATGTATACATTTTGAATTTGGGGGTGTTCTCCCAGATTTCCCTCCAAAAAGCTACTAATGTTGATTTTCATCATGATATATCCAAACTCTCACAACCTAGTCATCTCTTAACCTACTTGATGTCATTGACATACTACTTTTCTTTTTAAAAGCTTTCTTGAGAGGAGCCTGTGTGGCTCAGTTGTTAAGCGTCTGCCTTTGGCTCAGGTCATAATTCCAGGGTTGTGGGATTGAGCCCTGCATTGGGCACCCTGCTTGGTGGGAAGCCTGCTTCTCCCTCTCCCACTTCCTCTGCTTGTGCTCTCTCTCTGTGTCAAATAAATAAGTAAAATCTTAAAAAAAAAAAAAGCTTTCTTGAAATTGTTTCAGAATTTTAGAAAACTTGCAAAAATATTCCAAAGAATTCCTGTTTACCATTTATCCAGATTCCCTAAATGTTAATATTTTATCATACTTACTTTATTCCCCTCCTACTGCGTGGGTATGTATGTGTGTGTGTACTTGAGACATTTTTTTCCGAAACATTTAAGATAAAGTTGCAGATATGATGTCCCTTTACCTCTATACAGTTTAGTGTATGTTTCCTAAGCAAGGACATGGTACCACAGTATCAATTATCCATATCAAGAAATTAACATTAATACAAGGCTATAATCTAGAGACCTTATTCAAATTTACCATTTGCCCTACTTTTTTTTTGTTTCAAGATCCAATCCAATATCACATATTTCACTTAATTATCATGACATTAATTCTTTAAAGTAAAACTTGATCATGGCATTTTGCTCAAATATTTCTGGTGTCTTGTGTTGCCCAAAGAACTAAGTAAAAAGTCCTCTCTCTGACATAAAATTTTCTCCTATTAAATGTTTAACTTATCTCTGAAGCTATTTCTCATACTACCCCTCTCTTCACATCTTAAACTCCAACCAAACTGATTTTGACCTTTATGTGTCATGTTTAACAATGATCGGAGTGCTGAGTTCAGCCAGGTACCTTTCCTTTTAGGGAAGTGGTTTATTTTATGTTTCACTATTTCTTTTAAGTATGCCACTCTTGGACATCATGTCTTTACTCATTTCAACTAATATGTTTTCCCTCAACATTGTTTTTTAGTCATAAGGTTGCATCTCTATTGAAAAACGAAGTTAAAATTATTTCCCATTACATATGCAATGTTCAAATTACGGTGCTCTAAAAACAACTCAATTTATTATCTGTATTACTGAAAGTTTCAGTTTACATAAATAGTTGAATATAAAATTTTAAAGTACCAAGCCTAAGATGAGAAATGGTTTGAAGTATTTTTTATAACTTTTAATCAAGGCTTTTATTTTTAAGATTTTATTTGACAGAGAGAGAGAGCACAAGCAGGGGGAGAGGTAGGGAGAGGGAGGAGCAGGCTTCCCACTGAGCAGGGAGCCCAATGCAGGCCTAGATCCCAGGACCCTGAGACCATGACCTGAACTGAAGGCAGACAATTAACCGACTGAGCCACCCAGGCGCCCTTAAGGCTTTCTTGTTAGAATATTACTACCATACTTTAGAATCGCAGATTTATTCCAATTATATTTTCAAATTAAATGCATATGTTTACACCATATATCAATAATTTAGCATTCACTACCTCCCCCCCTTTTTTTGCTAAACAGACTTTCTTGTAATTAATATTAATGGATAATATGGATGCCATATTCAAGTTTGGTTATAACCTTAGTGTGTGTATATACATATATGCATAAACTTAATATTTTACATTTAATAAATTTTATGTTTTCTCTATATTTATACACCTATATTATTAAATATGCTTATGTATTATTTTATTTTGTTCTTACCAAGCAAGAACAATGAGAAAATTGGAATTTCTATATTCTAAACAATAAATGCATTTACATTTCCACAAATACTTTAAAATTTCTCAAATCTCACAAATCACACCCAAAACAATTCTCTTTAAACCCTCTTAGAATAGAATACTGAAAAAAAAATTGTAGATCAGTAAATGCTTATTGGGTACTTAATATGCTAAAGGTATTGTGTTAGCCAAAAACTGTAAAGACCAGGACTCCATTCTTAAATGAGAGTCAGTAGTGTGAGAAGAAAATAGATATGCTAAATACACAGACCACTATAATACAAATCAGAATGCATAATGCGTATTACCAAAGCACGAGAAGAAGGAACAAACTCATTTGTCTAAAAGAACAAGACCTGTCTTCAAGAAAAGTAAGAAATAGTTTAATATGGCTAAATAAAGGCTATTTTACCATAGATGGTAGACTTTTGAAGCTAGATGTTAACTAAAAAAAAATGATATGTAAAGTGCAGAAACATTGCAATTAAAAATGTTAAGGTGCTATTTGCATTTTATTTCCTAGTTAACATTGCTGAGGAACTAATGAATAGTAAAGTTTCCTTAGCTGATGATGTAATGCACTTTACCTAATGTTTGCCTCTTAACTAAAACTCCCATCTGATCTTAATCCTATAACTTGAAATATTTTTCAGTAAATCCCAGTTTGCAGCCTGAGGCAACTGCAGTTCAATTAATATTCAGAGTGAGGCAGTCAAAAGGAATCGGAGCCCTCCACCCCCCTTTAGAAAGAACGCAAACTACAGGTCCTTTCCCAATTACTTCATCAAATAGGGATTTTATTAGTCAATTAGCATTGCCTCACCCTATGCCATTGATGACACATAACAGAACCCCATTTTGTGAAATGGTAAACAAGATGAAGGGGCAAATGATTTTAATTTTTGAAAAAGCTCAGCTCAGTTTATTGTATGCTCCCATGGGATGTTCTTTCAAGTGTTTATTAGAGTTGGAAGTGTAGCAGGAGGAAAATGGCATTTAACAAGAGTAAACACCCTGTCCACTTCTCTTTTAGGACTACAACCTCATGCCATATAGCTTTCAGGGATCTCCTCCTTTGGACACGAAGTTAGCACACAATGGCAGCATCATATCTGTTTGCTTTACTAACAACACTTAAGCATTTTTTATAATTCTAAGTTAGAATCTTCAGGCTCCTCAGCTACAAAGATGATCTTTAACTTATTAACTGAGAGAATTATATGGAACTCATTAAGAGGGAATACCTAATAAATTCTGCCTTGGACTATTATAAAGCCTCATTCTAAACACAGCTGCACTTGTCTGGTTCATTCATTTGTATACTCAAAAGCCCTTTCATTCAAAAATCATTGGAGTTTCCAATCAGTCCATTGACATCTTAGAAGCTTTCAGATTTCTAGATGAATTAATTTAAATGTCAAATAAAAATGTGAAATTTCCTAAGGACTATATGTAGGACATGCATGATATAAAAATAATCTTAGGGTCTAAACTAAGACAAAAGCTAGTATTGTATAAAAACTTATAGGGAAGAAGGAGTAGGTAGTAGAAAGACCCTTTGGACGG